GGGGTCGCTCTATTGAAGGCCAGCGCATGCACCCACACCCACAGCCAGCAGAATAGATGGGTGGACGGGGCGGTTTCAGAGATCGACACCGAATCGAATTGGGATGGTTTTATGCGGATTTTTTGCTTTGAAATTCTGATCTTTCAAGTATCCATTATGCCCTTATTCTCGGATCCATTAATATCAAACTTTTATGAGTAATTTTATGCTATAAAGTATACTTTTTAGTTTACCGTTTGTTTTAAAACACTAAATGATTTTTCTATGCGTATGAATAGGGTTTGAATGTGGGTGTGATTAAAGATCAAAAGCAATAAATGCACCCACAGCCACACTCGCAAGAGGAATATATTTATGGAAGAATGGGCTTGATCCTAGTAAAAATCGTCTTCGATCGATCTCTCTAGTTCCCAACATTGGGAAATGGTTGAAAAGACTCATAGCAGAAACAATAAAAAATGAGCAGATGAAAAAGGAATCCATACTGATGAACAATCTGGATTTACAGTATGTAGGAGACTGCAGTTGAGAATTGTTTCTCTTATTGAAGATTTACAACTAACTGTAGCAGCTTTCAATCGATCTGCATTAACAATATTTGTAGACTTTAAAACCGCATTGGATAGTGTGGTATCCTGCACTAACAAAAACACTTATAATGTTAGGTATGCCGCAAAATATGATCCGATGAACATTCGACTCAGGGTTCAACGCTTATTGCATTGTGATTTCGCTTGCATATTTTCTTTTTACCATCTTATTTTCCCGAGATCGACTCTCATTTGTATGTCCTGATGATCTAACTATGATTATTAAATGTGCAATAGAAATGAAATTATCGGAAAACATAATTTATTTGGAAGAACAAGCAAAAAATGTTATGAAAGTGCTAGCTATATTTGCTGATGATCATATGCTACCCGTAAACATAGAAAAAAACTACGGCTATGTTAATACATAGTGCAGTAGTACCATTGAGAGCTCATATAGAATATAAAAATTAACAAATTAATTATGTATCAAACTACAAATGTTTAAAAGTAGATATTGGAATTAAAGTAGGACTGAAAAAAACACATTGATAATCGATTGAAAAAAGCAAGAAATATGTGTTGCGCGCTATAACAGTTTTTTAGAAAAATATCTAGAAATGAAATAGAAATACGAAGAAAACTTTTCTATGCATTTCCCCTACCTCACTTTATATGGTTATTTTTACCTGATTCTACTATACCGAAAAACAAAGAGCAAAAATTGAACATGTTTATATGTCGGGATTAAGACTAGTGTATGACTTGTGGGGTTGGAATGACTATATAAACACTTGCTTTGAGTCCAGCATATTCTCTAAGAAACTACCTATTTAAATACTGGAAGAAATCTATAAAGAATCTTGATGAGTCACATGAAGCACTAATATTTAAACAAACATCGACAGCCTTTTTAATCGCAACATCCCCATCGAAAACATATTATAAGTCAATGTGTTTTCGTAAAAATAGCAAATTTTTCTCCATTTATATGTTCGTTAATAAAATGCAAATAGCTGTCCTTGAAAATCATTTATATTAGTACAATAACTACGAATAAAATATTTAACTAGGTGATAAACATATTCTCATTAAATTCAATGAATCATGTAATTTTACTTGTGCTCTCTCTTTTCTCTTTGAGATTTATATACTTTTTGATAATCAATAGATGTAAGAAAACAAGTAAAATGAATGATCGATATTATTCAGTATACAATATCAAAGTATTATGTTTAGAAAACATGTGATCAATGACGCATATCAAAGGTGAAGGACAGTATATATAACCATAAAACATGATAAAAGTGAATATATTAAGAATAAAACGCAATATGTGCATATATAAGTACAGTTTTAATTTGTGATGGCTTCGAACGAATTAACACTACAAGATTTCAAGAGAGAAGATACATGTAATGGACATACAGTGCATTTTGATGATATTATTTATACAGATGACGATTGTTCACCATCAGTAGCTATGGATGATAACAATCGTCATGTTGTATTCACAACAGACGAGCCAAATCGACAATTGAATACTCGATATAAATCTGGTATACTTAAACGTCGAGAAAACACAATAACTACAGCTGATGCACCACGTATAATTTTATCAGATGAAGGACTTAAAACTGGTCGAGTATCACCTTTTATCAATTTTCCTCTATTTATTAGTATGACTATTCGGAGTGTGGGTGTCATATTTGGTGATATGTTAAGTAACAAATAGAAAATAAAATAAAATAAATATTTTTGTTTTTGTTTTTGCTTTTTAGTGGTACATCTCCTTTATATGTTCTCAAAACATTATTTGATTCTCCTCCAGAGGAAGACGCAGTAATTGGTGCTATATCATTAATCGTATGGAGTTTAATTGTTGTTGTTTCATTAAAATATGCTATATTCATATTAATGGCAGATA